GTACCAGTTCTTTGCTCATAAACTAATTGTTAACATCTGACAGCAGAATCTGACCTGCAACTCATAACTCAAAATCTGACTAGCATTTGCATATTCAAACTGAGCCATACAATCCTTCAGCAGGATCAAAAGCTTACAAAGGAGCTGAGGGAGGATAAAACACTCCACAAGATCATTCTATAGAGTGTGAACAGCTGATGGCCTGGATACCACCACTTGGTTTCTCTCAGGAGCAGGAACTTTACTGCACAGTATATCTCAAGGTGATGAACTATTTCTCCAGCCTTATACTGATTCCATCCTTCATAAGGGTACTTCTTGCCTCCTTCCCCCACTCTCCACACAAGTAGACTAGAGGCATTCCTAAAGGCAAACTGCTGGGAACAAGGAACACGGAAGTTACACCTCAATTTATGGTGATCAGTACAAAAGAAGATTGTCCAGCTCTAAGGATCTGACAGGTAGAAACCACTATGCAGCATTAGTCAACAGGACATATTATGTACCTTGTCCATAGCTTAAAAAACCATCAAAACACATACATGATAACTTGACCTTATCAACCATTCCAGTACTGAATGGCATGTGTTAACTGAGAGGAATATTTAACACGTTTTGGAATGCAGATGGCTATCCAAACTACCAAAACCAAAAGGGAAACTCAGCAGAACTTAAAATACATTTTCTTTAGACAACCTCTTTCCCATCCTTCCTGCTGTCAGATACTCAAGCCTTTCCTAAGGTCTAGGATTCTCCATACCATCACAGTGTTCTCTAGAAAATGATAAACAAATCTCTTGCATACAGTGCTGCCATGCAAACCAGCTCAAAACTATGGCCTATGTCCTGCTGGCTATTTTTTTCAGTCCTTGACAAAAAGCAGAAAACTAAAAGTTAAAATGGTTCCCACCAGCTCTGTTGACAGCGCAAGCTAGTAATAGCCTGTCTAACCATGAATCAGAATCTCTGTCATCAGAAAATAAAAATACTTCAGTCACATAGCCTGAAGCTTGACGGTGAAAAAGACACACGCATACATTTGTCACCAGAATTGCTATGGTAACCCTTTATCATGCACACAACACTGGAAAATTTCAGACTGAAATAACATCACTTCCACAGACATTTCACATATAGGAGAATAAGAATCTCATGAAAACAAGTATCAATCATTAGGATTTTGTCCATTTCTAATGCAAATTTGAATGGCTGCCAAAGCGAAGGGAGAAGCATCTGTGGGGCTGCTGTATCTCAAAGTCCCACACAGAGAGTGATCATGTACGCTGACATGAGAGAGAAAGTATGTTGCACTAGAGATCCGCCAGGGAGAGGATATTGCCACAAAGAAGAAAAAGGCTGACTGACTGAGATGAAGTCACACTGAAACACCACCCCACCCCACATTTATATTTGTTAACAAGTTTTAGTTCAGCAGGATTTTGTAAAGGATCATTTTGTCTTCCTTCACCATAATACTAAATGCACTGTTTTCTAATGTTTATATGAACTTTACTTCTAAACAACAAAAAAACGTTAAAAATAACAAGCTTTCTCTCTTTACCCAGATAGAACATTCATCATGGAATTAACTTTAGACTAGAAGCTAAAGTCTGTTCTTTGACAAACATGAATACTTTCATTATTTTAAACAGGAGATGTATGGGCAGACTTTGGTTGTATAGATTTATTGGGAAAATAAACCTTTCTGGTACAAGCTAATCTAAGTACATATTTACCTTCTAAACAAGAAAAGGCAGGTATTATTTTGGGTCACTCAAAAGCCAGAATTTAATTTTCAGCAAAAATATTAAAGATTTTTATTACCTGCTCTTCTACAGAGAAACTAGTATTTGAAACAGCTTTTCTTTTAACAGAAAACCAAAATCATAAGAAGGTATTTTATTGTTTTAAAGCTTATGCTAAAAATTATCTAGCTATTTATTATGGTCTTTACCTTTCAGAGCTACAATAGAACCATGACGTTTTTCTGAAAAAAATGCTTGTGGGTTCTAATAAATCTTCTTTTTACTTAAAACGGGAAAATATGAAGGAAAATTATCTTTTGCAGTGTATTTTTGAAGAAAAAAAGCAGTAAAAATTCAAAGATAAAAAGATAGATGTAACCGATCTGTTATGAATCTATACTTGTACCCTGTAATTATATATGTGTTGAATTTAAGTGTATACTTACTGAAAATCATAGCAAAAAAAAAAAAGAATATGTGTTAATAAAACACTCAGCATAAAAAGGATGAGAATTTATCTTTGATCTTAGCGTGGACTTACATGGCCATGACAGAAAAAAACTTTCTTTTGTCAACATAGAAATTCTGGTCTTTGAAGTCAGGAAGCCTTTATTTACTAACCAACCTGACCAATAATTTTCATTTTGGATTTCTCATGGACACAGTTGAGACCGGGAAAATTACTGACAATCTTGGATGGCTGAAATTTCTGCAGTTTTTTAAATGAGAGATGAGGGGGGTTGACTTATTTTACCAGTATGTGAACAGATTCTGTTTTCTATCGATACTTTAAAAATAATTTCACAAAGTCGTGGGATTTTCAACCACAGCTTTCAACATTTTTAAAATGCGGTCTAATGAAGTTAGCTGCATCTGGGTTTCAGTTTAAGAGGAAATACATCTAAATGTACAGCCTACATGTAGTTGCCCAAGACATGTAGATGTCAACATAGGCTGGAAAGCAATTTCGCAGAATGGATATTTGATTCAGTAGCTGTCTATAATCAGAATCTGTAATTAAGAGGCATGAATGTGTACAACTGGTGTCATGTGAGAGGTTCCCTATGTTTCCAAGACAGCTGCCCATGACTGACAGATACAACAATGGTCCAAGACAGACGCCTGCTTTTGTACACACAACAGCCAGAGGCTAGGTGGGAGACCCTGGATCATCTCATGCAGCAACAAACGCCTGTATGTAAGCAATGTAATTGAGCCCTGGGAGTTTACAGTGAACTGAAGAAGTTTCTAGGTGCACTGAGCATTGACTCAACCTTCACTGACTACAAGGAGTGCTCAGACACCTCACATATCAACACCTATGCACAAGCTTCTAGATTTAGGAATCTTGATCTAAAGCTGAATCCTAGTTTGACTGTCTCGTGCCGTTATGACTTCTTGACCAGTGCCCTTGCTGGAATTATTCCTCTACTCAATCAGCCATTCAGAATGACTGAGTACATACATATACTCCTGCCACAATAAGAGCATCCTGAGCTGAAAATGAGGAAAATGAAGTATTAAGAATAATGGTAAGCGTTGCTTAGAACAACGGCAATGGCATAGAGATGAGCATTTCCAGTGGGAGGAACTACTGAAGTTACGATGGAAGAATTCTTATTCTAAGTCTTGTGGGTCCCAGTACCTTGTACCGGTTTCCTGTATATTCATTCAGGGCATAAAGGGAATCAGAGGGAAGGATGTTTAGAGGATTCTTCTTGTGGTTTGAACTCCACTTCTCTTACAATCATGACAAGGTTTTTCTGTTTTTCTGACCTTAAAACAGCACCGAATGCTGCTATCTCCATTGCGGTTCTTTGCCTACAGCTACCTCAGAGTATTTTATGTAGAGAGATGAGATCTGAAGACTGAGAAGTTGCTTACAAGCATTAAGCAAGAGACACTCTCCAAGCAACTGAAATGTGGGAGGTGGGGGTCCAAACCCAGAGGGAAAAGACACGGGTGGCAGCACAAGTCAACATCAGCTAGAGGGCAGCCCAACAGCCTCAAGCTGAAGTCCTCAGGTCCTTAACTCAGGCCTCAAGTTGAGGCCTCAGGTCCTCAGCAGAGCTTGTTCAGAGCAAGTGCCACACAGAATTACACTCTCTCTCTTCACTGACCCCAAGCAGCACAGAGGCTGAAGATGCCTTTCTGTGTAGGCCACACATCGAGAGCCTACTGTGAGAGGTAAGCGCCGAGGGGCACGGTCATTTCCAGTATCATACGGACTACTTATATAATACTGCTAAATGAAGCCTAGCACTGCAAGGATACTAGGCGTTCAAACTGAGTGGATAAGGGTTTGTAACACAAACTGTCTTTTAACAGAAAGCAATGATTAGAAACAAAATAATCTGAGGAAAATGGTTGCTTCCTGTAAAGAAGATCTTAACCTGAAAGAATTCAGTCAATAAGGCTGTAAAGCTTTCACCTTCAATTATCACTCTGAAATATAAAAGGCCCTCACAGAAATCTGGGTTCAGGCAATTCGCTTGTGCAAAGAGGGTCCCACCAACCAGAGTTTACTCCCCATAATGGATCTTGTGTATGCAGAAAGGTAGAGTTTTTCAACTGGCTTCCCTAACTTTGGCTTTGGTATCAGCTTTTTTTAAAATCTTAGTTCCTTGCTCTTCCACATTTCTATACCGCTCTTTAACTCAATAATTTACATTTCATTTTTGCTATACCTATTGTTTCCTTTCTGCTGGTCTATTTCTACCTTAGAACTGAAGTTAGAACCCTACATTTCCACGTCTTCAACTACAGCTCACAAGACAAAGTTCTACTATTCTTAAATAAAGCAGAACTAATCCAAAGCAGTATATATAATTAACTAAAATACCTAGCAGCGCAATATTTAAAATAACTGAGGGGTGCCTGGATTATAGCAACATTATTAGCATGTGATTAATAAGCAGTTGAAGTATTACATTTGCTACACATTTGCTAAGTTATTTTATCTTGCTTTAAAGTTAGGTGGCAAAGTTTCAAGCCATAGTTAGGAGATTTGCTTTATTCAGTATTACATTGTTAACCCTACCATCTGGTCAAACAGCTGAGGGAATTCAGACAACCATATGGGGGGCCCATGTTTCTCTTGGGAAATATTTGCCTTACTGAATTATGCAATGGTTACCAGTTTCTAGCTTATTACAGTAGGATTTAAAAAATCATCAAAATACTCTGTAGATAACCTGAGTTTGGTGGGCCCTGTATTTAGCTTTAATTTATGTAGGAAAATAAGATGGCACTTACTTGAGGACCAGGCTGACCCTGAAAAACAAGAAAAAGATAAGGTCATGGAAAGTTATGACAAGGATTAAATCCTTAAATAGTAGCAAATAGTTACAGTATTCTCTAATAAGAAGACAACAAAATATCCAGTAACTGTATTGAAGTCAGATTATGGACTCTTAAGTCTATTGAATTTGAATGTTTTAATTCAAACTGATGAACTTTCTTGCAGTTAGCTGATTCCAGAAATAAATTACAATCACACATCACTGAACCTACATTTGAGAAAATTCAATTTTAAATAGACAGAAAAATTTAGAAATTATAGGAAGGAATAATTTAATCATTCTCAAGTGGGAAAGAATCTACGGACACTGAGCTGATTTAAAAGTAGGTACAGGTGTTTTTTCTCTATTATGGCTCACCCCCATGTTTAAAGGAGGTGCTAATTACTGCCTATTGAATTAATAAAATCTAAAACCAGAATAATCACATTGCTAGACAAACAATAGTCTTTTTGCTATTGCTGCAAACACCACAGTTTTAAGCAAGTATAAATCAATATATAAACCAGCAAGTCAGCAGCAGATGAACCTTATCAGTCAGCCCAAGAGGTAGGTGATACATCTCCTCTCCCTTATTTATCAACATCACCTTTGGACCACTCCTGGACAAATGGAGAGGCACCCTTTGAACACGGAGTTGTATGTATCTCTTGTTGCTGCAAGCCCTTACAGAGCAGACTTTCTATCACTGAGGTCTCTAGCCTAGGAAAGCCAGTGAAAGACATCAGTTATTCTAGCCCACTCGTTACAAATTATTTGCATGAAGCAGAATTGTATTACAAAACAGTGTAAGTGCTGTGACTCTGAACTACAGCCACCCAGACAATCAGCTCGCACGGTAAGGCAGAGACAAATATTTGTATTTCTCCCTATAAAGAGAGGAATTCTTAAAACTCCTAGGGTTCGCTTAGCTTCTAGTGTTTTACAACATCTCAATAATATTTCAGATGCATTGAAACTACATTTCCTTTTGTTGAAATATACTGAGCATAGAGACTGTTTATAAACCCTCTTCACTTTAGCAAGAAGGTACTTCTGCACAGCGTAGAGTTGAAACTTTTCCGCCTGAACATCAGGAAACACTTTTTACTGTGAGGGTAACCAAACTCTGGCACAGGTTGCCCAGGGAAATTGTGGAGTCTCCATCCTTGGAGATATTCAAAAGCCATCTAGACATGATACTGGGCAGCCTGCTCTAGATGCCTCTTCTTGAGCAGAGAGGTTAGACCAGAAGACCACCAGAGGTCCCTTCCATCTTCAGCTATTGTGTGATTCTGTGTGATTTTAAAGTGGGGGTATGAGGTATGTGAAAAAAGCACTGGGAACTATTATCTACAAGAAAAGCAGCTGAAGAAAAATGCTGTAACTAAGACCTTTCATGTTAAATTAAAACCCAGAAAAACATATTTTAATTCACATGCAAGTTTTTAAAGATCTTTTAAAAAATGTATGAAATATTAGAAATAAAGTTACAGAGGAACCATGGTAAAAACCAGAATTATTGTGGCTATCTAATCCTTACACTGAAGGCAGCTTAAAGCATTCCTTGTTGTGGATGCTGCAGTTTTGTTCCCTACAACAGCACTGCACTATAGAGGTTTTCAGACAAAAAAAAAAAAAAAAATGAAGTAAAGTTTTCCAAATCGGCCATTTCTATGAAGTTACACATCACACTGGGTTAATGAATAGAATGGGGATTCCTCAGCACTCAGCCTTTACCTCAATCTTCCCATCACAGCAGGTTTTAAGCTATTATATGCTATACCTGATCCTAAAATCACCGGGATTTGCTTACTGATGCAGTACTGGGCATCTTGTACAATAAATTTGTATAAATTAACTGAACCAAGACCTATGCATGCAAACTTTTATATACAAACTCACAATATCTTTGTTTCACAAGTATATCTAAAGTTACAATAAATTTTGACGAAATCTTTAGACTGTTTCCGAGACATATATATTAAAAAGAGACTCAAATGAAAGACTGAAATTAGCAAAATGTTTCAAAATGTTGATTTAAAGCAGTAGAAAGCAAATAAAAAGAATATATATATTTAAAAAAAATATTTGAAAACTGACACTTCTTTCTTCAATCTAATTTAGACATACACGCTACTAAGTGTCCACATGGCATATGCTGTATGTATAAGGGACATACACACATAACACAAACATACCCTGAACTGAATGTCAGGGATGGAACCATGCTCCCTTGAAAGTGTTTTCTACTCTCAACAGCATTATCAGTTTGCCTTTTTGTTATTGTGCATTTATAATTAGTCTTTTATCATGTCTGCAATACAGAGAGAGGAAAGCTGGAAACAGAATTTTTATAGGTCAATTGTTTTTCATGGCAACACAAAACTAAGAGATAACGGGGAATGTAACAGTTGCATTACTCTCAGTTTATATACACTGTCAATATTGCAATTATCTTGAATTTAACTGTAAATGCAGATGCTGAATACAGAAGTACTGAGCAGGATGTTTTTATCCTGTTGGCTATGAGCTACTTGAACATGGAAGGAACTTTGCATTAGTGAAGGTAATTATCTTCTGTTTTGTCAGTTGTTCCCAATCCTTCCATATTTTTGTATGCTCCTAGATACTCTTTGTCCTACTAACTATCACAGTTACAGTACAATTTTCTCTTCTCACTAATGATTCAGTAGGTGACACTAACCAGAGGATGCAGCAAGCACTGTATTATGGAACTCATCGGCTCTGCTTACAAAGGTAGAAAGAGGCATCACAATACTGACCATTTTTATTGTAAAGGGCTGTTGTCACACAACAACAATTCAAAGCATGGTAGACAAAAAGGGGCTGTTCATTTTGCCTTCTCCCATTTTTTTATGTTTTGAAAGGGTCAGCAAAAAAGCTCTTTGAGATTTTTTTGGTGTTCATTTAAAAACCCTCTAACATGAATATAATCTGATATTATAACTCATTTGAGCAAACTCAGTCTCAATTAATATGCTTTTATTCCCCAAAAGGCTTCAGGATTGCTGAAATCACTCCAGCTCATTGCTGCGTAAATTGTGCCCAATACGTGTTACTTGTAGATTAAAATGTTTTAGCTGGAAATATTTCTCTATGTTTTAGAGAACAAACAGGGTGAAAATACTCTTCAAGACTGAAAACTCAGCATTACTCTCATTTTTTCTCTTTATTCAAATGTATTACATACTCTAAAATTGATTCATTGCTTGTAGCTACTGACTGCTGTTCTCTGCACGCATTTACAGATCAGTCCCAACCCCAGTAACTGATCAGGTGTATTTTAGTGGCTGCTGCTTTGAAACTCTGGATCATTGCTCATGTACTTGATTTCCCCTTACTGATTGCTTTATTTTATTTTATTTTATTTTATTTTATTTTATTTTATTTTATTTTATTTTATTTTATTTTATTTTATTTTATTTTATTTTATTTTTAAAATCTGCATTACTACAGTGGATATAGTTCCATAATATGTCACAATTTCAGCAAAATCTTCAGAACAATTTTCCCTTCAATATTTACTATTTACTGACTTAGTACATTATTTTGCAGGAAAGGGGTTAAGTTTAGCAGCCTATTCCAATTACCATGATGGAAGGTCTTCTATGTTTGAGAGTTAATGCTTTCCTAGCAATTTAACCTAGTATGAGCCACTGATGTTTAAGCAATACTAAAAGAAAAAAACCCACATATATGATGTAGCCAGGTCTAGCTGAAGTCAACAGGTAAACTATCTATAGTCTATGAGGAGATTAAAGAAAAAGCCTATTGACTGGAAGCTGCAAACATTGCAGAAAAGTAACAGTAGAAAGAGACCTCAAGGAGCACAGGGAAGAGTCTTAAGAGAAGAAAATGGAAGCTGACACTGCAAATTAACAAGTTGAGCTTACAAAGGAAACAGGACTTGTAGCAAATTAAAAGGCAGAAAAGGAGATATGTATTCAGGGTATCAGAGAAAAGGTCTATCCTGGAAAAGGAGAGAGAGGGAGCAAAAGTAATAGCATGAGAAAGGGCAGGAACTGGATTTTCACAGTTCTTGCATGATTTTAATCTTTAAAAAGCTGGGAACGTAAACTTCCAGGCTCATGCATCCTAAATATATGGATATACAAATATATACAGAAACCCAAATGTATTTATAAATGCATTGTATAAAATTAAAGGTTATTTCTAACAATTCAAGTAGCATCTCCCTAAAGAATATCTGGGACAGCATACAAATGCATCTAAAATGATACATGAGAGCTGTTCAGATCTAATCAGCCAACAAAATCCAGACAGAGAAATTAAAACACAAAAATTAAGAACCTGTGGAAAAAGGAAGCCAGCAAGAGTCACAGATACATGGTCAGAAATAATATACTGCTGTTCGAAAGGCACCACCGAACTACCCTTGTGGAGCATTCTCTGGATAGAGCATCTGAGTAGGAACATCTGTCTTCCAATGTAATACAGGTAAAAAATTATAAGGAAGAAGGAATAGCGTGGCTGACCTCTATTTCCTTGGAACGACACAAAGGGCTGAAGTGGCTTTATGGCACTCTATTAAAAATCTATGATACTGAGGTTGAAACAAATTATGCTGAAAGAAGCCAATATGTGATTAACTTGTATTTCAGCATGAGTAATTAAAAAAGAGGGAATATGTGCAAGACCTAAATTATACTGGTTTTGAACAAATCACCTACCAGCTTTCCATCCATACCAATCGGACCCTGGGATAATCAAAAGTCAAAACAAAATGGAACAGTTAAATCAGAGGAACACTGGAGATGAGGAAAAATATAGATTTGGGGAATACTGCAGGCTTTAGAAGATGAATAATTCTACGTCAGCAGTTAAATGCAATACCTTAAAGATATTTTGCAAACGAAGGCACAGAAAAGAAAAAAAAAAAAAAAAAGATGACCTAAAACAGAATTAATAAAAACAGCATGGTGGGAAGTAGCCAGGCAATAGCTGGTGTTTAACAAATGAGAGGTTCAACATGCAATGAAGGAATTATTAGTTTGACAAATCACAGCGGCACAACATAAAACATATGAAATAACGCATCTGGCTTGTGTATTTTTCTTTAAGTAACAGAAAAAATTTACTGAATAGCTATTTACTGAATGCTCTTATCACACGATTGCAAGATTAAATGAGCAAACACTTAAAATCTTGTAACTGTAATCTGTATCTAAGTTAACATTATAATAATGATGGTTAAGAAAGTTCAGCTCATTAAGTTCACTGAGGTACCTATGATTTCCACCTATACTTTGGCCAAGAAGTCCTGTGCTTTATTCTGCTTTCATTTTTTTTTCCTTGGGAAACATGGAATTATCCTCACTGGTACTTTATAAGTTACTTATCTCCTTCAGAGTCCAGAGGTTGATTCCAGTTACATGGATGCAAATTCTAGAAAAGATTTAATGTGGATGTAGGCTATTGTAACTCAGTGACTGGTTCTGTATCAACTGCATGTTTAGGTGATCAGAGGAGAGAGAAGAGGGCTAAAGAACATTGGATTAATTTTAAAGTTGACGTGTAATTGCTTTGTCTTCTGACGAACAGACAAGTCACTTTTCATTCACAATGGAATAAAAGCAGGTAGAGAATTTGCTTCTGCAATTAAATTCCAATTTTAGGCTGAAAATGTGACCTCTCAGGTTTTTCACCCATGCAAAAGGGACACTAGTTTACATCTGCTGGAGAGAGGTTTTCTCTTAAATGCTGGCCTGCAGCCAGACTTTTCCCCTGGAGCTTCACAGTCACTCTCTTAAGACTGCCTTCCCTAAGCCTACAGCCCCTTAGGACTGACTGCTCACACTGCTTGATACAGGTCACCGTTGCTGAGATGACAGCACATAACATATTTGCTGCTTTTATGTTGATCCATTTAATCTTTACTGCTTTTTGCCCACTCTCTGAGCACTGCTTCAGCTTGTGAGCAAAACTCAAAAGTGTAACAGTTTAGTCTAAATCAGGTCTGCAGGGGTCCTGCTGACCACTCAGGAGCGCATATTCTTGCCTTCTGCACCACTACTAATAGGAATTAGAGCAACATGGGAATGAATCTATTCAACCAGCTATCAAGAAAGTAATAAACACTATGAAAAAGTGATGCCATATCAGTCTAGTGAGTTCCCTAGCTCTCTGTCCTCTCCCAGCCTATATCATGGACTCTGCCAAAAATTCCAGACATACTTAGTAAGAAAGAAGACATCAGTTGGATGTACATATTGTGAAACTCATGATTTTTGGTACATTACTGGCGTTCTAAGGAGCCTGTGCACTAATCTACTTGTCAGATCCAATAACAAGTTACTGTGATTGGGAAGCCCTACAGGAATAAAACCCCTTAACTCTCTTTCCCTCCAGCTCTTACTGTGGCTTTCTGTCACATCATGAGTAGTTGACATGCTTAGAGCATAAAGAGGGTCACCAGCATCTTGGTTATCTGCGTGACCATTACCTTCTTTATGTGCTGATGTGCTGGGAAAGTTTGTGACTGCTGGGATGACCTACGATATCTTTCAAATTCTGTCTCTAAAGAGTTCTTCCCTGGTATCCAATAAAGCAACCAACACTCACCAGTGCATTAACAGGACAGCTTTTATCATTACGCTTCCTCAGTGACTCTTGATCCCATGTGTGCAGCACACATACAGCACTTGTTATCTTTCTCACAGTTATTTAGCAAATTTCTAAATGTGGTACTATAGGCCCCCAAATCATGGCAAGTCTGCAAAATGAGTAGCCTTCCGAGATTTTTTTAGCACTGTACTACAGTATATTTATCTAGTAATATTTACACACACAGTCTGTTGCAGGTGCAAAAACGAAGGCTGAGCTGAACCCCGGCTATGAATACATTTACTTCTAGAAAGCAAACTACAGGTATTACCAGTTAAAACACTCAACAGTAAGGTCATGGTAAGTATACAAATTTCCCCAGAGGGCTGTGTGGGCCAGCAGCTAAATTTAACCATTTGGTCTGCTGCAAGCTTAGCCCAAAAGATTTAATTATTCTTGTGATGAATGAATACAGAAAAGAATTATGCAAGTATCTGTAGAAGGAAAATTCATTACAGGGTCAAACTGTGGACTTAGAGGGATCAGCCAACAGCTCTTGCAGCTGTAGCAGTGTATTTTGCATATAAGCACTGCTCTCAGGGAATGTTTCTTTACCATAGGAGAAAAAAATACTATTTGTGCTCCCTTACAATGATAGGTATTTTAACTAGGCATTTTTTTGCCTGCTATTTATCCATGATACATAGCTCCTGCACTTCAATTAAAGGACTGTATGTAGCATCTTGAAGAGTCTCAGTGAAGAAGAATCACAAATTCCCAGTAGACTGAGGAGAAGCACCTGCTCACAACTTAAAATAATAGGAATTTCCCCCATGATTACATTTGTATCAGGACTACTTGGTCTGAAGTCTGGGAAAGTCTTCTGGGATTTGCTTTATAGAGTAGAAGAAAGAGAAATTTGCTTGAGACATACTGCCCTACAGGAGAAAAAAAAAATCTTTGAAGATAAGAGGTCATTACTGTGAAAATGAATAGTATTCTTTCATTATAAAAATACAAAATATTTGACAGCAAAGCATGGTAATGTCCTCCTTTGCTTAATTGCTTCTTTCTAGTGTTGGAAAGAGATAGAAAACACTTTTCAAAAATGGCAGCAATCAGAATTTCCACAACCGATACAGGCTGAGTGAGAAAGATGACCTGAAATAGTACCTAAGGCTGCTTCAGGATGCATTGAGAAAACTCCTGCATATGAAAATGTTTATTGACACTCATTACATGATTGCACTGGAAGTCTCACAGAACACTCAAAGACATTTCCATTCATTTTGAAAGAAAGACTTCAAACTATAGTCAGTCTTGAACTTAAACTTGATTTTCTCTAGAGCTGCGTACTAGTTCAAACTACTTTCTGCTTTGTTCTCTAAATAACTGCTAATACAGATTAGCAAGTAATTTTTTTCAACCAAACCAAATACATGGTCTTCTGTAACACGAACCACATAAAACATTTTAGAAAACTAGACAAGACAACACATCATGAAAGAGAAGTGGATGACTAGGTTTATGTACAGATATGCATACTATCTGTTCACTTAGTGTAGTGTAGATACTACAGATGGTATTGAAAATGTTTCTTATGGACTATGCATTTCCTTTCTAAGTTTCCACCACCATTGTTAAATGTATGCTATTACTAGATATTTACTTACAGTATTACGTACAACTCCTTCAAGATCTTCAAAAGCAAAGTTGAAAGTTGTCTCTACAGTAGATTTCAAATAATAAACAACTATTTACTTAGTTGTGTATTATTTAGCACTACCTACCTATCTAATAACCCTAATATGAACAGAGATGACACATGGGAGGAAGAGGAATACGAGTGCCATTTCAGTCTGTTTTTGTGAAAAGTAGCTTCCACTCCTCAAGAATACTATAAGCATAATGTTTCTCCAAAAAAGATATTTTTAGTCAGATTTTGAACACTACACAAAATAGGTTGTTTTCCGTTTAAGCAGTATCTTTTTACATATGGGTTACTCTGGAGGTGCATATTTTAAGGATTTTAGGGATTATTGTTAGAAATTGAAAATGTAAGCAAACACATCACAAATATTCAGAGTGTTCCTATCAAAAAGATAGCTAGTCTTACTACTTTAGGCAGCTTTAATGCAATGTTCATTTCTTCAGAAAATTCTACATGAAAAGTGAAGATAAGAAAAGATACCACATGTTGAAATCCACTATGTAATAAAAGAATCTTCCAAGGGAAGAAGAAGAGGAAGATATGGATTATCTTCTTACTCATAACTTCTCCACTCCTCCTTCAGCAATCCTTTTTGTTTAAGGAATGCTCATCAGAAGATTGTGAACCAGAAAATACATAATAAGCAGAAAACAGACATAATTTCTTCTTTATAAATTGCAGACCACCTTCTATCCAAAGGAAGCTTTTTTGGGTTTGTTTTTAAAATAAAGTGGATTGGCATATTTTAACTGCATAACTTTTATAGGTTTATATTCGTTGGAAATGTGGAGAGAAATGCATTTGTTGCAAATGCATTCTTTGTGGAAAGAATGAGGAAAAATTCTGACACTGCAAATTAATCCAATTCTAGCTTTCTGTATAAATAAATTCTAGACAGACAAATTATCATCTCCAAATGTACACAAGTTTCCCAAACTTTGATGACTCACCGTTTTTCCTGATTATTTGGTGTGAGATCAAGTATTTTGGAAAAAATTCTCTCTCTCAGTGCATACCATAGGTGTCTGAAATGCTATGCATACACAAAATTAATACTGTCTCTGAGACAGACATGAATATAGAAAACTAAACTGAGCCCCAGTTATCCCATGCTAGACTGGGTTTCAATCTACAGAAATTTCTGTCACAAGTAAGTAGTCAAGATTATTTCAAGATTTCTAATGGGCAGTGTTGGTCCAAGAAATAAAGCTAGTGAGACATAACAATGCCATAGCTGGAGCTGGCCAGCACACAAGTATTTTCTGAGCTCAGTTTGTAGTGCACTGAATCAAAAGTTTTTGCACTGATTTTAATGAGAGTGTGCTTTGGCACTCAGTTGTCAAAAAAAAACCAAAACCAACACATTTTAAGGTATTCCCCAGTAATTAAAAAAAAAAATCCTTTAGATCCCACATTTGGAAGTTTTAAAATAGTCTAAATTAG